TTCAGATACAGGCATCTTCATCTACAGTCATCTAACTGCATTCATTTTTGTTCAGCATTAGGAATTCAGAACTGAATTGAGAGTCTAACTGAATTCACAATCCCAGATATTACATGATCAAGTAGACTGTAGGAAACTACAATAGTCCCCCCCCCCAGCCTTGTCTGCAGTTTTACTTTCCACCTTTCAGTTATCTGGTCAACCATGGTCCAAAATATTAAGTGGAAAACCCAGAAGTAAATTGTAAGTTTTAAATTGTACAGTATTCTGAACAGTGAGTGAAATCTGGGGTTGCCCCACTCTCATATCAGGAGCCATCCCTTTGTTACCCACCATCTAGTTATTCAGTTCCCCTCTGGGTTTTCAGATTGACTATCAGGTATTACTTGCAGTGCTTGACTTGAAATCACCTTTATTTACTTTATAACCACCCCAAGAGAGTGATGCTGGTGGCTTAAAAATGCCAAAAGGAACCTTAAAGACTTCCTTTAAGTGACAATGGAAAAGTTCTCAACTTATGGAAAGAAAAAAAATGTATGCTTAGAGCTGTGTTAATCTATGGTAAGAACCAATCTTCTATCTGTGAACTTTTTTTTTTTTTTTCTTTTTTGTCTTTTTGAGACAGGGTCTTGCTATGCAGTTCAGGTTGGCCTTGAGCTGACTTTGTAGCCCAGGCTGGTCCTGAACTTCCAGCAATCCTCCTGCCACATCCTCCCAAGTGCTGGGATTATAGGTGTGTGTCACCATCCCCGGCTTTTTTTTTTTTTTTTTTTGTACACCGAATTGAACTCAAGACCCTGCGCTTGCCAGGCAGGCATTTATGCCACTGAGTGAATATCCCTAGCCCTTATCTGTGAACTTGTGAAAAAAAGAAAAAGAAATTCATGTTAGTTTTGCTGTTACATCTTAAACTGCAAAAGTGACAGCTGTGGTGCATTATGAGTACTTAAGATGGAAAAGATATCATTACATTATAGGGTTTGGTGCTATTGGGATTTCAGGCATCTTCTGGGGGTCTTCTTGTAACGTATCCTCATGGATAGTGAGGAACTACTGTATTTATTCTGGTTTTAAAGAGATGATCTAACATATACATGTTTTAGCAGCCGGGCTCTGGAGTTGGACAGACTTGGATTTACATATTGGTTAAGACTTGTCTAGACTCAATAGAATCCAAATGAGCTCGTACTGGCCCATTGGCTGGCCCATACAAGCCCTCAGTGCATCTTACTTGTCAACCTAAATAAAAAATAATCAGAGATTCTCTAAAGAATAATGATTGTTAAGCTGGGTATGGAAACACATACCTGTGATCTCAACACTCTGGGAGGCTGAAGCTGGAGGATGGGAGTTTGAGCCTAGCCTGAGCAATTTAGCAACTTAGTGACACCCTGACTCAAAATAAAAAAGGGCTGAAGATATGTATCTTAGTGGACACCTTCCCACCTCAGTAAGTTCATGTTGACATCATGATCTCTTAATGATATAATTTACAGCTTTTTCCCATGCCCCCATTACCACTTCTTACACCTCCTTCCCACCCATCTCACCATCTTTAGAGATGGGCTTTGCTCTTTAAGTATAGTTTTCAGAATCATTAGGCCATGTAACCTTCCACTAAAAGAAAATATTGTGCAGACTCTGATATATAATAGATGAAGTTGATAGATATTGTAAGATTCAAAGCATTAATTGTAAAAGTGGAGTTTATGAAATTGAAACATACCAAACTAAATCAAAATGTAATTAAAATTAGTTTATTTCAATAGTGTTTAGGTTACAGGTTACTATACAAACCCATAATTACAAAAGATTTTTTTAAAAAATCATTAATTAGTACCTTTAATTCAGTGAAAATATGCTTTAAACTGTTGCAGAAGTCTGAAAGAAATGGGAAATTTGTGTCATAAAGTTGAATTGCTAACAGTGTCTACAGGTTAAGAGTAGGAAATATTCATTAAAGGTCAGATATCTTCTCCCTAAGAGACATAAGGGGACCTGGAAAGTGGGTTGCTGAGGACCAACTTTTCAAGGAAAGTTTCATAGAGGACAGCCATGTGGGTACAACATGGTTTAAGGCTATAATCAACCAATAAGATTATAAGTAATATTGATCCAATGGGGAAGCAAGTCATATAGCAAGTGTAGTATGTGGAAAAAACAAGGAACTTTTTGGGAAGGGTTGAGTTCAAGGGTTGTGGTCAACCACCAAGGTGACTGATGTCTGTCTGGGCTTTATTAGACCAGATGTTACCACTTGTCTTAGGCCTGGTCATTTTGTCTTCATTTTGAGGCCTGGACTCTAGCAGATGTACTTCCTGCTACAGTTGGAACGAGTTTTCATTTTTGCATTGATTTTCTTGAGGGTCCAGCCCTATCTGACTGCCTATAATATTTCTGTCTAACTTAGCTGTCTGTAATACCCCAGACACCAATCAAGTTCTAGTACATACTTCTAACCCACTGGCTTTCACTTTGGAGGTTCCCATAACTCCCTCCCTAGGTACCCTAATTGGCTAGAATGACTTACAAACATCAGGAAAATACTTACATTTACTGGTTCTTTGTAAGGATCAACTTGGGAACAGTAAAGATCAACTTGCCTAGGGCACACAGGGTATAGGTTACAGGCACAGAGCTTCCTTGCCCTCTCCAGGTGCATCACCCTCCCAGAAATCAGTGTGTTCACAAACCTGGAAGCTCCCATCCTTGTCATGTAGGGGCTTTATAGAAGTTTCATCATGTGGCACAGTTAATTCATTGCCTATTGGTGATTTTTTTTCCAGGACAAAGGATTGAACCTAGGGCCTTGTATCTGCTGGGCAAGTGCTTTGCCTCTGAGCTGTATCTTTACCCCTTTTTATTTTATTTTGAGACAGAGTCTTGCTAAGTTGCCCAGGCTGGCCTGGAAGTTGTGATTCTCCTGCACTGGCCTGCCAAGTAGCATGTACTGTCATGTTTTGGCTGGCCATTCGTGATTGAACTCTATGAGCTTCAGCTCCTCTTCCCCTCCCTGGAAGAGACCAGGGTGACACTGAAAGTTCCAACCTTCTGATCTTGGCTTGATCACTCTGGTAACTAATTTCTATCTTGAAGCAATCTAGGCATACCCCTCAAATTATTAAAACCATAAAAAAGACACTTATCATTTAGGAAATTTTAAAGGTTTTAGGAGCTCTGTGCTAGAAACCAAAGACAAAGATCAAATATATTTTTATTATAGCATCTGTCTCAGATCTTATAGGTTGACATTAAGCATCAAAACTTAAAAATTGGTAATAACCAATACTTTGATGTAATAAAGATTCTATGTATTTTATACACCTGCTCGGGCTCTTTTAATAGCCTGTTGCACACAGACACTCATGGATATTTGCATCCCTGAGGTTTTGAGGGTGTGTTTTTATTGTTGTCTTCCCTTTCCCCTTACCAATACAAATAACAATCAGTGGCACAACAATTCAGATATATGGAGAGAGGTAGTAGAATCAGCACACATAAGTTATATTATCAGTACATTCAAAAATATTGCTTTTAAAATTTCATATGTAATGCTGTAGACTTTTAAACTTTTTATAAGAAGTTTCAAGACTGCATAACAGAAAATAGTACAATAAAAGCTCCCGTATATCCATTTCTGGACAATGGGTATCAAGATTTTGCTGTACTTTCTCTTTTTAAAAAAATCTTTCTGAAATATATTATAGCAAATCCTAGATATCAAGCACTGAGAGTTTTTTACATAGTATTAATAATAGTTAAACACATTTTAAGACAAAGTTGAAATTGGACATTTGTAAACTATCTGAAACATCTGTGTAGAATATAATTTATAACTCACTTTCCAGTTGCAATCATTCATAAAGGAGCCTTGATAAAGATGTGTGAATGCTTTAAAAAACGATTCCAGTGATGCTCAGCTCTTTGATCCTGGATTAGTATTAGGAGATAGGACTAGAGAATCATCTCTGAATTTCCTTTAAAATCATGAGATATGATGGAAACCCATTTACATGGTCTTTACTGCTACTCTATTACTATTTCAGATAGCAAAGTCAGGAAAGCACTTAATTTATGCTTTACAAAAATTCCCTTGTTGGGGGCTGGGGATTTAGCTCAGTGGCACAGCGCCTGCCTGGCAAGTGCATGGTTGTGAGTTCGATTCCCGGTACCGGAAAAAACAACAACAACAACAAAAATTCCCTTGTTTACACCATTCTGATAATTTGCAGCATTTTTTCTTTTAAAACTCCAATTATTTTTCATAAGTTATTGAGAGAATATCTGGCCCAGCCCAGAGACAGAAATTCTAAATAATAAAAAAATTGCTTTATGGTTAATATTTATATCTTTATAAAATAAGGGTTATTTGTTTTTAAAGCCATTTCTATACCCACTTTTTAAAGTTTGCTTTCTTATTTGGTTCTTCTAGTTTTCAGATTCACAGAGAGGTGATTCTGAGCTGTTTGTAATGGCTTTTTCATTTATTTTTGAAACAGTTTGATTGTTTAATTCTGTTCTGTGGAATAGGAAATATTTGTGTTTTTAATATCCAAAGATTCAGATCTGATTACTTTGTAAAATTCTGACACTGGATATGTCACACTGGTTCTGGGAGCTGTCTCAGTGCTAGTGAAGCATAAAGATTCCTCCAGACCAGTTTCAACCTTCAGAATGTTTGACATCACACAGTAAACTTTGCAGTAGACCCTCAGTCTCCTTAGCCTTTTTCTGAGGAGCTATAGTATTGATATAATTGTTACTCATATCAGTTAGATAATGCATATAAACAATGGGTTAGGAAAGTTCATTTTAGGGTGTAGTTCCAGCTATTAACCTTATTGGCTATACTACTATCCTTACCAAACCTTAGAGATGGTTAGTAAAAATCAACAGGGGAACCGCTTTCTGTTTTTGTGTGTAAATTTAGGTAGTAGAAAATATTTACCAGTGCCAGAAAGATACTTCTTTAATAGATGGGTTTTGTTTTTTGGTTTTAGAATCACAAGAAGCCGATGAACAGCTGGTAGCAGAAGTGGTTGATAAACACTCATCTGAGACTTGTTCTGGATCTTTGGGAAATGAAGTACCACAAATGCCCACCGATCCTCATCCAGCTAGGGATGTCAAGGAAGAACCTGGTCATGACACCAGCAAAATTTCAGTAGTGAGGCCATTTTCAATTGAGACCAAGAATTCCTCCAATATCCCAGCAGCTCTCGGAACAGAAGCATCCCATGGCCATGTAACCGCAGTCTCAGGCAACACTTTGCCCTCCAGCATGCCAGGAGCCACCCAGGATGAGGCAGTGACAGAAGGCAGCATGGGGGTTACGCTCGAGGCATCTGCAGAAGGTGATCTGAAGTCTGGAGTCTCCTGTCCTGAGCCTGTGGCCAGCAGAAGCAAGCTGAGAAAGCCCAAACCTGTATCCTTGCGGAAGAAGACAATTGGGGTAGAATTTTCTGGGGTGGAAACTGCCACAGAGGCCAGACCTCTTGCCAGGGTATCTTACCAGACCAGTTCCGATGAATTGGATGAGAATGCGCATCCTTCTCTGCTGGGAGGTGATGGGAGCCAGAGATCTGTCCCTGGCCTTAAGGAAGCTTCATACATGCTTATTAGTGGCACCAGTGACTCAGGGATTGAGCCACAAGAAGAGGCAAGAAACTCAGCTCTCAAACTTGAGTTTGATTTCACAGAAGATGTGGAAAACATAGAGGCCAGGAAAGCCCTTCCAAGGAAACTTGGCAAGAAACCCAGTAACATACTGACTCCCAAGATACAGAAAGATGGCATCCATAAGCCAGTAGGTGTAGAACAGCCTGCAGGCCTGACAGCTGGAGATATCCCTCTCTCCCAGGTGTCTTCTAAGATAGAGCCTAGTGAGTGGGATCACCCTGGCTTTAATTCCTTTGGGAGCCACTGCACTCTGCAGAACTCCCCACCCCTCTCTTCTAAGGTCTCCTACCATTTTGACCCAGATAACTTCGATGAATCCATGGATCCTTTTAAACCGACTACAACTTTAACAAGCAGCAACTTTTGTTCCTCCACTGGTAATCATGTTAACGAAATCTTAGACTCACCCAAGAAGTCAAAGTCGCGTTTAATAACGTGAGTGACAGGGTGCTGGGCATTATGTTCTATGTAGTATTCTCTATGGGTTTGGCAGTCAGCTGCTTTGGTTTTGGTGAACTGCATTTATTTTTGAGGTGCAGTGGGGGCGCAGACAAAGCTGTTATGCCACAGACTTCACTGTTTTGCCTAACTCTTGTGTAGTTAGAAATACTAGAGGTTTCCTTTGTAGATTTCTGCCTTATTTCTGAATCCTCAGCATATGTAGCCAAGCTGTTTTCCTCCCACCCTGAATAACTTTTAATGTTTAAAAAAAAAATCAGGTAGAAATTTGATGGTTTTCAGAAATCCTTGCTGGGAATCCCTGAATACAGAATTCAAGTGTCAGTGCTAGCCACCATCTTCAGATTCTTTATGGATAAAACAAAAAAATTCCAACCTACAAATTACCTGTCCAGTGTCAGTAATGTAAAAATGGTTCATAAGGATCTTAGAGAAGTGTTTTTTTAAACAGAAAGTAGTAGTTTTTTATTGTTACTATTGTTGGAGATAAATCTGCCATGAATAGTTGAGAGTTCTTGTCTTCATTTTTGGTTCATTAGCAAAAAGGCAAATTTCCATTGAGAATTAAGACTATTTTAAAAGATTGTTTAAACCTGAATAACTTAGTCTTTTGTCGCGTGCTTCCTCCATCCCCTCATTTCTCCTGCAAACTGGGTGATTTTTGCAAAACTTTGAATTTCCTTGAGTGATCCCTCAGGCCATACTCTTGTGTCATGTTTCAGTTTAACTTTGTCAGAGGGTTACTGTGTCGTAAAAATTAAATTGACTAGATGCTGGTATATCCCTTGGTGACATTGTAACATTTTACTAAATATTAGCTATAAAGAAGGTCCGTTGACATAGAGAGTGAAATGTGGAATGGGCAAATAAGAAGTAAGGTAGTTGTAGTTATCATGAGGTCATTTGTGGAAATACTTTTCAGTATTATTATGACTTTTAAAAAAAAACAACTAGGTAGTGAATTATACTGGGAAAGAGAATATCCAGAGCTTTAAAGAGCAGAAATATTGGCTTCAAGACTGTGATGGTTGAGCAATATAGATAACAGTTCTATAATAGCTTCCGTATATTCCTCACCTTCTCTGAGGGTAATGAGATGTCATCAGTAGCTCTTGATCTTTTCTCTGATTATGTGGGAGCAGTTAAATGCTTGTTGAAGTATATTATTGGTTGGGTGTTCACACAGTCCTCTTTTGTGGCTGTTAAGGTTAGGTACTTAGGTCTAGGCCGCCCTTGGGGTACATATGGGGCATTTCAATACCTTGGTGCTTTCTCCCCTAAACATGAGCTACTTCTGCCTACCCCAGCTAATAAGTAGTTGTTTGGGGAGCCTTCCTTCCAGTTGCTTGCTGATATTAGGCAGTGGATTCATGTCAGAGAAGATTAAATACGAACCAATGAGAGAGAAATTTACTCTTTATATTCAGCACCAAGAAGCATTCTGTCTTGAGTTTTGACATTTTTACCTGGTAACATTTTCTTCTATTCTTTTTTTGTCAAATGAACTTCTTGATATACCTTGTAGAGTTTTTGTTTTAATTCTCACATAATCAAAATTCTTACCCTGTTGAATGTGTAGTTCACATCTGTCATCCCAGCAGTCTTAGGAGCCTGAGGCAAGAGAATCTAAAGTTCAAGCCCAGGCAGTTTAGTGGCTTAGCAAGACCTTGTCTCAAAATTTTAAAAATAAATAAGTAAAAAGGGCTGGAGATGTAGCTTGTGGAAAGGCCTTGGTTTCAGACAGACAAAACTTCTTTCTGCAAGAAAGGGTTGGTAGACCTCTTATGGAACACTCTAGGGTCTTGGTTAGCAGAATGCTTCATTGTAGAAAAGACTGAAAACAGATACTTGGTGATAGCATCTAGTGGATACTGTACTTAGGAATTTTGCATGACATTCAGAAAGATGTATATAATTGACTTCTGGATTCTTCTATAAAATGGAGACACCATAACATGATTGCGATTTTGCACATCAAATAAGATAGATTATACAAAATCATTTTAAGCTTCTTAGTAATGCGCATCTATTATAAAGACAACCAAATATGTTTTGAAATATATTTTACAAATGTATTTTATTCATATATTGCCTTTAATCTGAGTGACTAGTCAGTAGAGACTAAACGTGTTTAGCAATGAAATATCGCTTTTATATATTCTCATATATTTAGGAGGTTATTTTCATCTACAAATTGATTTTTTTTTGGTACCAAGAATTGAACTCACGACCTTGCACTTGCCAGGCAGGCACTTGTGCCACTGAGCTATATCTCCGGCCTTGCAAATTGAATATGCCGCATTTCTGAGTGTTTAACCACTCCTACTCCATTAGAGTTGAGGTGCTGTTAACCATTCACCAGTGCTAACATTCATGAATGTGATATTTTTTTATTTATATCTCACCTTACAGAAAGAACTGTGTAGCTTTTACATCTACCAAACTAAAGATAAATTTTGGGGCTTTACATGATTTTTTTCTCCATCTGTCTGTCTCTTTCCTGTCTCTAATTTTGTTGGTGCATCAGGACCACTGAGCAAGTGAAATTTCTCTGTTTTCTGTTGTAAGTACTCTTGCTGTTTCTGTTTGTCCCTGGGACTGTTGGCACTTTGCTGCCCCACCCCTGCCCCAACTATCTCTCCACAGCATGTTGGCTTCTGTTTCTGAGTTTGATCTTTTCATCTGTTTCTGAGTTTGATCTTCTGATGATTTTTTTTTGCATTTCATTTGCCACTTCCTGAGTCAGCTTAGCCTTGCATTGTTTTTGTACCTAAAGGAGTGGAGATTGCCCTTCCTGCCTTAGGTATGTGAGCTTGCGCTCCCTGGCTTGGCACACATCATGTGGCATTTTGGGTTTGAAGAGCTGGCTTGGCCCCCAAGATCAACAGGTTTGAGGGAATGCACTGCTATTTAATGTTGGAAATTGGTGGATTTTTTTTAAATGGTAGAAGGCTGCTTGGAACAGGTGATAAATTTTACTGAATCAACTTGAGTTTAGTGGCAGAAGTTGGCACTTACTAACAGCATTAGGGAAATAAGGTCATGAACTAGTGATTGTACACTTTCTAATAACCTGTAGGCTTGTCTTTTAATTTTTTTCCACCAAAGAAAAGCAAGTTGAAAATAATTTTTTTTTGGTCAGAGTGTCATTTTTACTGGAAAGTTTAAGTTCATTGAAACAGTAGTCTGTGAGTTGACCTCATGATCACAAATGATATCTAATCTAAAAATAACAGGTACTCCCAAGTTTTCCACAATTCTGGGCTTCACACTACATAATGCTCATCTTCCACCTCACTACTTAATAAGAGTGGTAACAGTTTCCTCAAATACCTTTATACTTTGTTGACCATAGTTCTTTTCTGTAAACACCTAAGTCTAGACTGGAGCTGTCTTAGGAGACTTCTGTGGCTTTTAGTACAATAAAGAATTTTTAAAGAATTTGGTCCAGCGTGATGATTTTTCTGATGAACATCAAAGCCAAGCGACTAAAGTTCAGAATGGAACCTCCCTAACTGCTAAGACTACTATCTGGAAGGCTTTGGGTGGTGGGTAATTAAACACGGTAGGGGATCAAAGTACTGATGTTTGATAATCCACAGAAACAAATAAGGTGGTCTTTTCAAACAGTGAACCTAGCTGTCATTCTTTGCTTGCCCTGTCTGTTGGGAGAAGACTCAGAGACAGCACAGGTGTCTGCGTCTCTACCATGCAGATGTTTGATGTGTGTGCTGTTGTATGCTTTGGCTTCTACCTGCATACACTGCGCTTTGCTCCATCTTATTCCTTGAAAGTTGTTGTTGTGATTCCAAATTGGCTTGTTTGTATTTTTTCTCTTTGCAGGAGTGGCTGCAAGGTGAAGAAATATGAAAGTCAGTCTCCTGCTTTGGAAACTTGTTCTCAGGTAAGTCTGTGTCTGTCACCAGACTCATAGAGCAGTGATCCCCAAACTAGAGTTTACATCCTCTCAGGGTACCTCAGAGTGGGTGTCTGAGTATTCAACTTTAAGGAAATCAATTTTCTGATCCTTAATGTCCTAAAATCATCTGGGAAGGACCCTAAAAATGAGAAAGCTCTTTTATAGTGATCCCTTTTTAAAAATAATTTCCATGCTAAATCGTAGGAAGGTATACCACCAGAGTGTGAAAACCTCCAAGACAAGAAAGATTTGAAATACAGGGGTAGGTTCTCAGAAGGTGAGTGGTTTTAGATACCTTTTTATAACTGGTATCCAGTTCATTGCTGTCAAGAAAAGGGACAACCTGGGTTGTCAGCTTGTTAAAAATAAGATTTTTTGTTTGTTTTCAAACTCAAGGCCATGTGTATGCTAGGCAAGTGTTGCACCACTGAAGTGCATCCCCAGCCAGAAATAGGGGTTGGGTTGGATTGGGTTTGTTTGAGAGAGGGCTGCAGTAAGTTGCTTAAGCTGGCCTTGAACTTTAATTCCTCCTGCCTCAACCTCTGAGTAGCTGGGATTGTAAGTGTGTGCCAACCTGCCCAGTTGAAAAGTAAGTTTTAATTATGGAATCTTTTGACACATGGAAAAAAGATTTGAAACACATTTCTATTATAAAACTTCTTTTCAGTTTCATCACTTTATATAATAAGGTTTCTTATTGATTATAATGTAAAGGTGGAAACCAGTAATAAAAATGATATTAGTGTTTATTTTATTCTAGCAATAAATACTGTCCATCCATGACTATATGAATTGGGAAACAATAAAAGCCCAGGTCCATATGATTGCAATGAGATCCATTTTGTAAAACCTTCAGCATAACTAGAATTACAGAAACATACTTGCATTGGTTAATAGAATGCAATTTAAGTTTAGCTTATCCTATGTGACTTAGACCAAAAATTTGATACATACTTTAAATTTTTAAAAGGCAGTTGAGGATTGCTGTCTGGTTACTCTTCATCTATTACAAATAGATAAAAAGATCCTCCCTAAAATTTGACCAAAATGGACAGCAAAAGCTATGAGAAAATTACTTTGGGTTTGATAAAATATATATATTTTTGGCACTGAAAAGTTTTAAAATCAATGCAACAAATTCTATTTTCATGTTTGATAATACTTCTAAAAATTTGTAATCTTTTGAAGAAAAATTATGCATTAGTAATTATAATGATAATTCTTCAAGAGAAAGAAGTTAATGCTTTGATATTTATGGTCAAAGAGAAAAACTTCCAATTTATTCTTAACAGAGAAATAGAATAAAGAGACCTTTAAAAGTCTTTCAGTCTACATGTATTTTGTTGGAATAATTTATTGATTGAAGTGAAATACAAATTCTTAGAGGAAAAGGGAAAATGTAAATTTCTATTAAAAGAACTTATAAAGTTTAAAAATAGATCATAGGGTATCACATCACTAGAGTAACTTAACTGTATTAACGAAGAATGTAGCAGGTATTACATTCTACATTGTTTGGGATTATTCAGAATTAATTCATTCTGTTAAAGATATTTATTATTAATTTTTTAAAGATAATTTATCCTGAAAAGTTTTTAGATGTAACTTGAAAATGTAATGGGCATGCAAGGATTTTCAAAAAAACAACTAAGTTGGGCAGGGTGGCACACATCTGTAACCGTAGCATTTAGGAGACTGAAGCAGGTGGGTTGCAAGTTCAGGGTCAGCCTGAGCTATCTATCTAGAGAGAACCTGTCTCAAAAAAGTATAATATAAAACAAAAACAACACCAAAACAAACCAAAAAACAAGTAGAAGGTATATGAGCAAGAAGAAAACTACTGTCTTAGATCACTTAAATTATTTGTGTACAAATTTAGGCCGGAAAAGTTTGTTTTTTCAAACCCCAGATTCAAGTTACAGAGTCTAAGTTCTAGAAAACAGCATTTCAAGATGGGAAGAACCAAGTGCTTCTCTGCTTTGTACCTGGATCTGTGACGAATTCTGTCAAATATATGTACAGAATGTGACTGCTTGCTCCATTTTGGGAAATGTTACTTTTCCTCATAGTTTGTCCCCCTAATGGGTAGTGACTTTTGTGTCACATTTCTAGGATGAAGAAGCAGTGATCTCCCAGATTTCAGACATTTCTAGTAGGGATGGCCATGCTACTGATGAGGAGAAACTGGCATCCACGTCATGTGGTCAGAAATCAGCTGGGGCCACGGTGAAAGGTGAGCCAGAGGAAGACCTGGAGTACTTTGAATGTTCCAATGTTCCCGTGTCTACCATAAATCATGCGTTCTCATCCTCAGAAGCAGGTATGGAAGCATATCTTCATCTTCACCTATATAAGCATAGAAATGCCAGAAAACGTAAAGTGAGAGGTATCTTAGAGAGATTAGAGAAATGAGTCCCTTCGGGGCTAGGTTTCAGATGCTGATATGTGCTTTGCTTCTTTACCTAGAAAAGAGACCACCAAAACTGTTTATTGAAATACTAGGGATATATGGATAAGTGTAGCAGGATGTCCAGGAGACACTAAGTTATAATAGTGCTTGAATTTCTCTATAGTTTTATATTAATATGGCCAAGTAAGTTGTACAAGGCACAAGAACACTTCAAAATGAAGGTCCATATGAGAAAACTTTTTATGGACAGTCATAGAGAAGTATGATTAGCAGATAGATGCTTAGTTCAGATTCTTCTGAGTATTTCTGTGTCTTTTTTTTTTTTAAAGGGGGCATTTACCGGGAATGGAACTCAGGACCTCTTGCTTGTCAGACAGGCGCTGTGCCACTGAGCTAAATCCCCAGCCCATATCTCTGTGTCTTGGAGAATGAAGATGCTCTTTTCCTCCAAGTATTGAGAGGGTCTACTCTGGAGTGAGGGAGGGTCTTACTACCTACTTTTAGGAGAAGATCAGAAAATCTTTTACAGTCTGCACCATAGAGAAGGACAGAGACCTTCCTGCTTCTTCTGATTCCTCCTTAAATGCTGAGATGCCATATTTTGGGGTGTTCTGAATAGTCACTAGTAAATGGGAGAGTTAGATTGCAACCTAAGCAATCTAGTTCCATAGCCTCCAACCTCAGTATAAAGTGATTGTTTTCATTCCACTCAGCTACTGTAAATTTTCCTGTAAAAGATATGGTAGATTGAAATTGACCAGTGCTCTGTAAAACCCCTGACATGCTAAGGAAGAACCTGAACTACCTGGGCTGGGCAGTAAGCCCACGTACCACGTACCACTTACTCCATGCCTTCTAGAGTGAAGGCCCTCGTTAGGTCTCGCATCACATCCGTGGCCTAAACTTATGAAAGGTTTGAACTGTGTTCCTGACTACATTCAATATTATTAAAAACTCAGATCTTCTTAAGCAACATAATTTGTGGGCTTTTGGACAAAGAATTTTAAACATTATGATTTGCCATCAAACCCAGGGAAGCAGGTGAAAGTTGGGACTTTGAGCAAGTGATTTTGTCTAGCCTCCTCATTGTCTCCCAGGCTCCATTTCCTGTGTGTGTCAGTGAGCTCTCCATTAGCATTACATATACCTCAACTTCGGCAAAGAAAGGCTTATTTTGGGTGGTTCCTGGTTTTAGAGATTCAGTCTATGATCAAGGTAGACTCCGTGCTCTTTCACCTGTAGTGTGGGTGACAGCTGGCAACAGCAAGGAGGATATGGTGGAGCTTACCTTCTAGCCAGGAAGCAAAAGAAAGGAAACAAGGAAGATAGGGTCCCACAGTGCCCTTCAGGTCCACCTCCCACCTCCCACCTTGCACGCGCAATCACCAAGGACCTCCTGGCCTGCTTCAGTTCTTACAACCTCCCAAATGCACCACCCTGGGGCCTAAGCTTTTTACACAGAGGCCTTTGGGGACATTCAGTATCAAACTATAACACTATTCATAAAGCAAACATGCCAGCCATTGTTCTTGTTTCCTTTCCCAAAGGCCCTGTTAACCATTTTGATTGGTACCCCTTTTGCTTGCCCCCCACTGACATAGTCTCATTGTGTAGCCCAAGCTGGCATTGAAATTGCTAGGTAGCCTAGGCTGGCCTGGAACTTATGATCCTCTTGCCCTGGCCTCCTGAGTGCTAGGATTACAGATCTGCACCACTATACCTGGCTTAATCCTGAGTACTGTACTCTTATACCTCCTTTTTTTTTTCCTTCTATGTATCTTTTTTTGCTATTTTGTATAAAAGTTCTACCCATCCTTCCAGGTCTGTCTTGAATGTTTCTTCATCTCACTGCACTCTATGCTCCCACCACATTTCTTCTTCACTTCCCATTCCATAGTGCCTAGCACAGTGCATGCATTGTAGAAAGGGAAATGTCTCAAGGCTAGGGACTGTGAGAGGTGCATCTTTGATTTTCTTTGATACAAATACATGGTAAATATTTGTTGGATTGTATCCTTCCTCACTGGAGAAAATTCCTTGAACAAGAATTTCTATAGAGAGCTGGGGCTGTATTAAATATAGTGGTATTCTCAATAAGCTATTGATTGCCCTGGAAAAGCAGAACAGATTCTAACAGCTGTTACATTGTAACTGATTAGCTTTATTAAAGGAGCAAGCAGAGACCTTGGCCATGGGGGGTGGGAGGGCTGGTGGCTCCTGGAGAAGTCAGAGATTATTGGCTGAGAGTCACTGTGGAGGTGGATTTGTATGAATCTGTGCATCAATGTGCTTCAGCAAATGGAACGATGGGAGGGATCCTGACACATTGGTAAAATGCCTGTTACCTTTCTGTGAGTGCAGGGCATGTGGGAAACAAGACTGTAGTGAGGGATCTGGGGTTGATCTGATAGATGGAGGGAGGCTTTGAAGGGTTTTTAGCATGAGAGTGATGGTCACATTAGTGTTTTCAATAATTTGATAATTGACTAAAATGTATTTAGTTATTGTTACATAGGAGAGTGTAGCTTTAAATTTTTATATGTTTTTCTGTATCTTTACATTTTCTGCAATGAGAACATATTCTGGTTTTTGTTTTATGTCTCCTCTGGTGATAGAGTGAAAAATAAACCTGACACAAGAAATCCAATTAGAAAAGTATAAAGAGGGTAATAGTTTTGCTGGCTTGAAATTTAAAGCTTATTATTTTATCTGCTACATTAACTAAATTGAGGTTGTCCTTTGGGGCTAGAATTTAGATTCTGTCAGACTTAGTAATAAAATAGCATTCAGTGTTATAGTTTCTTCTTTCAGAAACAATTCCATGGTCAGTACAACTCACTCACTAAATTTTCAGTGAACATGGGCAGCTCTGCCGCTCTTTCTGCTTGAAGATTGACAGTGTCGATTTCTGACTGTGCACTCCTCTTTCTTCTGAAGGTTATTGGACTCTGACACTGAACAGACAGAATTCAGCAGAATACCAATGCTCCCTTTAAAGTCCTAAAATGCTTCTGGTGTGTTCATAGTCAGCTCAGGCCTGCACCAGAGTGGCCAAGAGTCTTTCAGTAGGAGGGAAAGGAACTGCTTTCTTGGGATAGCTATAAAAATGATTTTGTGTTTTAGGCCTAGAGAATGAGACGTGCCAGAAGATGGACAAAGAAGGATCTGCTGTGCTCGTAAGTTCCTAAACTTGGGGCCCTGGCATGGTGCTCAGGACCTTTTCAGTATTTGTTGGGAAGCCCAGTGAACGTTCCATTCAGTGTTAAGGGATGTATATAAAACAATTTCTTCACTTGAGGAACCTATAGTATATATATAATGTTCTCTATAATACCCATGTGGCCACATTTGGCTGTTGAGCACTTGAACTGTAGCTAGTCTGAATTGGCATGCCCTGTATGTGTGAGATATAAGTAGTATTTGAAGATCTTGTACCCCTCAAGAAGAAAATACTCAATGTCACAATTTTTTATTACTGACTGTATGGGTAATATTTTTGATATATTGAGCTAACTTATTAAAAGTAGTTTTATCTGTTTCTTTTTATTCTTTTATTGTGGCTACTAGAAAATTAAAACTTAAAGGTGCCTTCCAGTATATTTCTGTTAGGCAGTACTGGTAGTTGATACAAAATGCAAACAAACAGTACCCTGTGGTAAATGTAATTGTTCCAGGGCAGGAGGAACCAAGGTTGGCTGACTACATGGCATGTATTGGGAAAGGCTGAGTCTGAGCTACTTAAAAACAAAATCTTCACTTTCAACTGTTAGACTTGTAAAAACGTGCAAGGAATTAATTCCTGTATATTTTTTGCCCTTAATACTCAAATATTAACATTTTACATACAGTGGAGTCATCAAAATCACTAACACATTCAAAGCTCATACTTTTATCTAATATGTAAACCTTTTATCTAATACATAAACCTTACACACATTTGTTTCACAAATTCTTTTTTGTGGTGCAACTCTAGCAGAGGACCTCAGATTGCATTTAGTCATAATACCTTTAGTCTCCTTTAATCTGCGATGGTTTTTAGTCTTTCTTTGTGTGTAATGACCTTGACAGTTTTGAAGAGTACTGGCTAGTTATTTTGTAGAATGTTGTTCAATTTGTGCTCTTCTGGTGTTTCTCTGTGATTAAATTCAGCTTACTCATTTTAAACACAAATATAACTGAAGTGACAAGAAGAATGTTAGTATGCCCCCTTTGTTGGTAGAGTTGACTTTAATCACTTAGATAAGGTGGTCACAAATGTGGTTAAAGTTTTTTCCTTTAAACATTCTCCTAAAAGGAGAATGGGGTATTCTACGCCGGACAGGTGGCCATGCAAAGGCAAGGAGTAAAAAAAAGTATAAATTTGAGAAAGAATTGTGATTATTAATAATCTAATGTGATTGGAGGATACTGTGCATATGGAAGGCGAGGGCCAGGTCATCAGGGGCCATCAATACACTGCCAGGAGGTTTGGGGTTCATGGTAGAATTGGTAGGTAACCCACTGTAGGGTTTTAGGTAGGGAGCAGTGTGATTGATTACGGTTCAAAGGATACGATGGAGGTAGAAAAGATTTAATAGGCAGCGCCATCACTGCCTGTGACTTCAGCGACGTATCTGGTGGGTAGGGTGGGAGAGAGAGTTTCTGCCCTGAACATGTGGGTGGTTATTACTGCCAGGGGCCTTATTGTAACAGCTGACCTGTCATCCACCTAGCTATCTAAGCCATGAACCTGGCTATCTAAGCCACGAGCTATCTAAGTCATCTTTCATTCCTTATTTCTACAGGCAAGTTCAAGGCTTGTATACCTATTACATATCCCTGTACTCTTCTGGAGCCCATGGTCCTAGGTCTTTTTAAAGGTGGTGACAGTTTTTAAATTAGTCTTCCTGTTTCCATACTGTCCCTCTGGCATTACTCAGTGATCTGTTTTAAATATAAAACTGATCTTGTTACTTCTTGCTTAAATCTCTTAATTGCCTTCTCTTGTCTCAAGGACAAGTTTAGACACTTTTTGTGGCCACCATGGCTCTCTGCAACAGTCTGTCCTCCCTCACATTGTCTGAAACTTCCCTACACATATGGGATTACCTCTCAGTTCTATAAGCTTACCACTTTTAGTCATTCCCTATGAGGCTATAAAAATGGTGAAGGTAGGGACGATGACTGTCTTATTGGCTGCTACACTCCAGCACCCACCACCATAAATATGTTGATGATAGGGATTTGGTAAGGAATATAGAAGGAAGGGCAAAATTATGGAGTTCATTTTTCAACATGTGACTTTGAGGGACCAGTGGGACTAGTTTCTTGCTCCCATTTTCTAATAGTCAATTCTAAGCATATACCTTGAGCCCAGGAAAGCTCTGAGTTGTGTTTAACACCTTGGAGGAGGCTGACAGTTGGTGGCTGTGGGGGTAATATGTTAAATTACTTTCTCATTGCTTAGACAAAATTATTGATACCCACAGATTAAAGGAGGAAACGTTTATTTTGGCTCACAGTTTGTAGAGCTTTCAGTCCACAGCCAGCTGGCTCCAAGGCAGGGCAGGATGGCAAAGGAGCTTCACAGAGGAGAAACAGCCTGTGGAAAGGCAGGCAGAAGGCAGTAGCAAGCCTCCTTTTCTCTTTTATGTCCCTGTCTCATCCAGGACATAAGTCTTTTGGGTAGTATCACCCACACACAGAACTATGATAAACCAATCAGTGGGCTAACTTAGTAGCACACACCCTTAATCCACATTCACATACCCTAGATCCAGCTACCTGCAAAAAGTCCCACCAGTGACTGCATGAGGCTTTGGGGGAACATCTAGACATAATGGGTGGTAAAGTTGTGGTTGAAGCACTTTACTTTGACCCACAGTAAAAACAAGACTTCAGGTGTTGACTAATACATGCATGCCATGTCACAACATATGCATTTGTATAAAAAACCAATTGTACAGCTATTGGCCTTTCTTCATGTGATTTACTGTGATACTTTCATTTTTTCTTTCTTTATTTTTTCTTATTGTAGAGGGTCTATGCTACTACATTGTTTTCTTGATTCAGTGTTGGCCCATGACCCATAGTATTTCCCTAGAGAATACAGAATGAGATGGCAACCTCTTAGGGCTTAGCAACCTTAGAAACTGGGGCAGGAAGTGAGAAGGAAGAACGTACACATAACACATGTGGAAATTGTCATCCTCTCAGAAGAGTCTCACACATTAATGACCTTTGTTTCCAGACAAAATTACTTTTCCCAAGAAACTCATGGGATTTTCAGCTTTCTAGGGAGTCAAGTCACCTGATCCCACTGTAGCTACTCTCAAGTCTGAAGCCCTAGTTTCCTTATCTGAAAGGAAGCAGTTCTTCTTGTCCTTACTTACAAGAGCATGAAACTGTGCTCTGCTACCAACTGCCAAAATAACTTGACTGTGCAATTTAGGAACCTGGCTCCTTTTGCTTTGGTTTTTTTGTTTCTGTTTTTTGTGTCTTTGTTTTGTGGGCTTGAACCAAGAGCCTCATGCATGGGAGGTGTGTACTGAACCACTGTGCTACATCTCCAGCCCTAAGACCAGTTCCTTTTGAAGTTTTTGCAAATAATATAGGAACATTTCTAGTCTTTTCAGTGTGTAAAAATAGCAAAAGATAATTGAAGAAGGGTTTATTCAGTGGACAAGGCTTTGGTCTCTGCATGGCTGGTGACAGTTTACCCAGTTTTTGAAACAAACTTCCTGACTCCCAACTTACTCATCATAAAATAAGCAACACCTGTCTGCTTCATAAGAGTAGTGAGGATAAAAAGAAATGAAAATGTGGAGGATCAAGCTGTAACACGCAAGACTGCTGTAAGGTAGCACGTTGACAGAAAAAGGGTGGGAAAGAATGAAAAAGTAGAGTAGAAAATGCTTGACCCCAGAGCCATCTGGTGAAAAATATATACTTTCTGACCCCTTAAAAGTAATCCTATTTTGACTCCTGACACAAAAGAATGTCTGCTTCTTTAGAACATTGAAGAAATACTATGTAAGGAAATTTCATTCTAAGGGGTGGGGATTTAGCTCTGGTAGAATACTTACCTAGCATGCTTGAGGCCATGGCTTTAATCTCCAGCACTCAAACCCAAAAGAAAAAAATTTCAGTCTTCAGATGTTGAACAAAGATCTGAAGAAGGACAAAGGGAATGGAATCTGGATACCCAGGCATGGTGGCAGATATCTGTGATTACAGCCCTTTGGAAGACCGAGGCAGGAGGGTCACAAATTTGAGGCCACTGGACAGTTTCCCAAGACCATATCTCAAAATGGAAAATAAGGGGAGGGGAGGATGTAGCTCAGTGTGAGAGCACTTGTGTAACATGCATGAGGCCTTGAGTTCAGTCCCCAGTACTACAAAAAAAAGACCCCCAAAAATGTTTCATCTAGCGTTCACCCTTTAAAGCCCTTGTCTGTATTACTTCAAAGTATATTCCTATTGCAGTCTCGTGCCTCGTGGTTGGTAATGCCTAAAAATGCCTAAGTCCAGAGCACAGTGAATGAAGAGGATTAAATCTCATCGTGCCTTTCAGCTGTTGGTCTGCAGCATTTTTCACTTTACTTTTTCAAGAAGTCTTAAACTTAATACACACAGACACATACATACACAAATGTGTATGGATTCTATATGGTAGTAAAATCAGTGGTTCAGAATTTCTTTTAGAAGTATAGATTAATGTAGAATAAATAATAATAAGCACATAAAAATGCATCAGTGGAAAAATATTAAGAATATGGATGAATAGTTATATATGAACATAGGTAGATCTAGATATAATATCTATATGCACATGTACATATTTATATAATATATATAACTACAAATATACATATATATTTGAAGCAAGAAAAATTGGTGTGCACTTGAAAATCAGAAGTCAAATTTCCATTTTATTATGCTTGATACAAATTTTATCAGTAAATCCAAAGAGATTGTTTGAAAAGTTATTAGAAGGGAGAAAGCCTATTATGAAATAAAATTAGTATAACCAAACCAATAGCTTTCCAATATGTACTAAATTATTATCCAGAAACATAAAGCAAAACCATACTTGTAAGTTATTAGAATAGTTGAACAATTTTTAAAATTACCTATGAAAGTATAAAAATTTTTATGAATAAAATTTTGAAATAGGGGCTGGGGATTTAGCTCAGCGGCAAAAGCGCCTGCCTGGCAAGCGCAAGGTCGTGAGTTCGGTTCCTGGTAGGAAAAAAACAAAAAAAAAAAAAAAAAAAAATTTTGAAATATTAAAACCTTAAACCATTTTAAAAGTTGTGTTCACATGGCTTTTCTAAATTTGTCTCTGTTAGAAGTGGCAGTGGCTAATGTCTAGGAACTCAAAAGACAAATCATGGGATGAGCATAGTCAGCATAGCACAGCACAGATGAGTGATACTAATTCTCCCACTGCAAGCATGTCAGCCAGTGGAACTTCCAGCTCACTGTAAATTTGTAGCCAGAATGCCGTTGTGTGAATCCCTTAAAGAAGTGAGGGAGAAGGACTAGCCAGTATCAAACCATACCCTTTTAGAAGGGTATGATTGACTGACTCAGGCTATTAAACACATATTAGATTGTAGCCCAGCCCTGAAAGAGATTGTCTGGCCAGTTCTTTGTGACAGTAGATTCTGTAAACTTTCTGCACTGCCTGAAAAGCAATATAAAGGACTAAGGAATGTAGTAAGTTAAATCCTAGGAAAGCCACTAAAAAGGCACAGTATTAATTCCTGTCCTAATCAGTATAAATTCTTGCACCTCATGAGCTGTTGCATTTTGAGTGGCGAGTCTGGTGGCTTGTGGCTGGGCAGGAATGGCCAGGAGACAGCTGGCCACCATCTCCAGTCTGATCTCTCACCAGTAACCTCTGAGTGTTGCCTCTTGAGGACACTATGTTTGATAGTATTTGGCTGTTGCATGATCAGATCAACTGGACTCACATATCCCCTCCACAAATGAATGTGAACTTCAGCGCAGGATGTTAGTGTTTTCCTTGCTAAGGAGACTCTTGGACTTTTTCAAATTCTCACTAATGTGATGGCCATGAGAGACACAGAAAGGCAGTTTCCTAGAGCTGGTTGGACTTAGGGACTCCAACTTAAAATGTTAAGTACTCAAGACTGATTGTGAAATGTATTAGCTTAAAGTCACAAATGCAAACAAGGTGACCAAGTTTATTTCTCCCTTTAGCAAGTTATAGCAGAAGCAAGATTGTGAGACATTTTCTTGATTAAAAAGAAGGCACAGGAAGTTAATGAGATGACCCCTGTGTCCAGGGGTGTATTTGTGTATCTAACAAGTTAATCCAAAACTCACTGTCTTAAACCAGCAAACATAACTGTCTTTTTGTTTCTGTGGGTTAGGAATCCTAACATGGCTTTGCGGGTGCTCTAATTCTGGTCTCTTGTGACTACAGTTATCACACAGGGCTGCGCTCGTCACTGGGTGTGACTTGGGGTAGCTTCACTTTCAAGGTCATTCACATGGTTCTTGGCAGAGACTCCAGTTTCTCCTTACATCGGCCTTCCTCTAGAAACTCTCCCAACATGGAAGCCACAATCTTTCTGCAGTCTAATCTCAGAAGTGACTTGTAGGCTGTTGGCACATCCTAGTGAGTCACTGAAGTCCACCTCATCCAAAGGGAGGAGCTACACAAGAGAGTTCATACTAGGGGATACGGGGTTGCTGAGCCATGGTGAAGGCTCCCACCATAAGCGCTCCTGGTTCTAGCAATAGATATATCCCAGTATGGAAAGAAAGAGGCTGTGGGTGGATCTTGTGCTTGCGTTAGCGTGGTGGGCTGCCTTCCCTTAAATGCTGCTGGAGGAGGAGTATTGCCAGCTTGTGGCTTTTGTATTTCCCTTTTCTGTAGCCTAAGATGAGTCTCTGTCTTGGGCCTATAGCTGAGGTCTGTGGAGCTGTCTGCCAAACTACATATGTGTTTTTGAACATTTAGAAAGAGAGGGTAAGGTGACCCAGAAAAGTTCAAAAGCTACTGGTGTAAGCAGATGTTGGACTTTCTATTTAGTCATGGTTCAAACAGGATACATGAGGTCTGCAAACAAAAACTAGACTGATTATAAATTAATAATTGTAGTTGTAATCACATTTAAGGTTATTAAAATTATCCCCAGGTCACTTTGACTGGCATGTTGGACATTCCCAAACTATTAGATCCCACATATATACCAAAATTTTGCTCCCATAAAGTTAAAGAAATAGCCATCAAAAATGCTGTTATGGCTTGTGTATTGATGTCCCCCTAAAGCCTCATGTGGTCATAGGTAGGGCTTTTCAGAGGTGGCTGGATCTAGAGTGTGTGATGCTGGGATCAGTGATGTGTGATTCTTAATTAGTCTACTAATTGGTTTGGCATAGTTCTGGGTCTGCTAATGGAAAGGCCTACCCTGGGTGTGAGTGCTCCTCACCCTAAAGGCATGTAGCCTGGATGATAGAATACAAGGGACAGAAATGGGCTGCTACTGACCCTTACTGCTTTGCTGCCCTGCCATGAATTGTTCTCCCCTGCGATGCCCCTCTCCCATGCCACCCTGCCTTGGAGCCAGCCAACTATGGACTGAAACCTCCACAAAATGTGAGCCAGATAAACCTTTCCTTAACTTGTGGGTGTTGGGTATTTTGTCTTAACAACAAGAAAAGTAACTAAGACAAATGGCTTTTCAGAAGGGAAATAGTATGAAGTCTATGTCCTTGTGAAAAACAAAATGCTAACCTACTGTGGCTCTCTAGAGCTAAGTTTATGATAGAAGCAGATTCGTACCTCAAAAGATAAATAGTACCAGAAGTAAGCTGAAAATGTAATAGCAAGGAAGAAAAAAACAAACCAGACACAGGTCTTGACTTACACATAACCACTCCATACGTGGGCAAGACATGGAAGCTCTCAACACATTGCTAGGTTATAGTTGAAGTTCATGTTGATCCTGGTGATCCAGAGGGAATAATGGGAGTTAAGAGTTCAGCTATGTTGGCCACTTCTGCATCCTTTACCCTGCAAGTTAGTAATTCATCTTAGAAACATTTCCACCCAGAGTGGCTAAATGAAGACATGTACAAATATCCATAGGTAGAAGGAACAGCTGTCACTATTTTTCAAAAATTACTTGTGTGGAACACATAACTCCCAGAAACCCTCAGAAAAAATGAGCAATTGTACATGTTTCTTTCATGCCTGTGGTTCTTTTGTGACTAACCACTTGATAATTATAGTTTCTTCCCTTTGGATACAAAGAAAACTCATCCAAGTCATTTATTCAACAAACTCAAGACTAGCCTGATGTTCATTAGAACACTTTTTCTTTAGTGGTCCTCTAACTAGATTGTTTTTTTTTTAACACTTCCTTCTTGGTGGTTTTCATTTTGTTTTCCTGCAAAGCATATTTTCAGAGAGTGTAATCAGTTTAGTAATGAGGAAGTTTTTGAAAGATTTTTCAGGCTAGTCACTGAGGAATGAATGTATTCAGTGTGACCTCCTTCCCTTCACAGGGATTGCTTGAGTCCACAGAGAAGGCCCCGGTATCTGTGGCCTGTGGCGGTGAGAGCCCCCTGGATGGGATCTGCCTGAGTGAATCAGATAAGACTGCTGTGCTCACCTTGATAAGAGAAGAGGTAAAGGCTTTCTGGTGTTGTCTGCTTATCACTCCATTTTCTTTGGAAAGCCCAGGTGCCAGCCAGTAGATTCCATCTGTGTTGACTTGAGTTAGCCAGGCTCCAAATTCTTCCCTGCAGTTCGTGTAACTCACATAAAGGCTCCCTATAAGACCCAGCGTTAGTGCTGGAGCCCTGACATGCTGGTTTACAGGGAAAGAAATGGATGTCCTGAGACACTCTTAGAAATTTTGTGTACTTCTTTACTTTTAGCCTTGAAACTTTAAACATGTAAGTCTGCCACCAGCTCTGGTCCATGTAAGCTCATGCCTAAGAATGCCTCACATTTGAGACTTGTTGCTGTATAAAATTGGTTCCTAATTCCATCCATTCTTTAAACAGTTTATCTCCCCAGTTCCTATGTTGTGTTTACTCAGTAGCCCCTGTTCCACCTAGATCACTGGCCAGCCTTTCCCAGGTGATCTGAAAATATGGAAGGTACTCTCGCTCACTGCCGGTCAGTTACCACACTCTCCTGACATGTCTGCACTGTATCTTATGTGTGTGGCTTGTGATTCCTAAAGATTCCCCCTCTTTTTAAAGAAGATAATTCTCTTGGTGTAGCAAGCTAGGTTTTATGTATGATGAAAGTAGTCAAGCACCTCAATATAGGTCTCTCAACATTTTATAAAATAGCATTAAGTTGATAATGTACAATGTCAGTTAGTGCTATTGTCAGATCTGGAGAACAGCGGTGAGACCTTCCAAGATCTTATGAATAAGAAAAGGGACTTCATCCTCCTCCTGCAAATTAGACTATGACTTGGCCACTTTATGGATCAAAGCAAAGGTGTGCCTTGTTACAGAAGCACACAGGTGGCTTCTGTTCTTGAAATCCTTGTTAAAGATACCAAAATGAAGAGCATTTCAATCAGAAGAGGGAAGTACAGCCCAGGAAGAGTTGTGAAAGGCAAGCCATGAATGTGCCTCCCAGACTCAACCAGAGAAGTGGAGTTGAGGGATGGATTTAATGTGTGTCTTTCCAGTTACTAAGTGCATCCCAAATACAGGTACGGGTTCTGGTCTGACTAGGCAAATCTTGCCCACAGTGAGGGATGCTAGAGAGGGATGTACCCAACCTGGGGCATCCTGCTTTTGTGCTCCTCCTTCTGACTCTATCCTTATCTAGCAGTCAGAGATCTTTATGGAAAGAAAGTGTGCTGGTCGTGCCAACTTCTAATACTCTGATTTGTGGCACCTACATTTCTCATCCCAAAGAAAATTGATGGTCTGGCACCACTTCAAGTTGTGTGCCTTTGGTGAAGGTGAATCTGCCAGGCAGATGGCTCTACCCTGGTGTCTTCTCCAGTCAGGTTTCAGGCCTACCAAATTGAGAGCCAGACTCTGGGCCAAGTTAGAATTCATAGCTTGTCCACCCTTACCCTGGTGGTTACATTTCAGCATTTTGTGTGGCTGAGCGCACCCTTTTCCAAATGTTGATAAAGGTTAAAGAAATGATGATGTTTTATATTCCTAATGTCAGGGGAATGTCCTAGGTTGTACTTGGTCTTGTGTTGTTTTCAGTCTCCAGTGTTAAATTCAAATACTGTAATAGACTGATTAATTAAGACTAAGCTTTATTTTTATCTAGATAATCACTAAAGAAATTGAAGCAAATGAATGGAAGAAAAAATATGAAGAGACGCGACAAGAAGTCTTGGAGATGAGGTTAGACTGGAAGCTGCAGGGAGGTCAGAGCCTTTGCGTAGATGCTGTGTGTGAGGGCTTTGCTCTTGGCACTCACAGAGGGACTGAGTGTCACTTCGTGAGTTACACGTGACTAGTCCTCTACTCCAATAGTGCCCATCATCTGGGGGTTGTTCAGAACATTACATATAAGCAGAACTCACATACTTCTTATCTTTTTTTGGTGGAACTGGGGATTTGACCCCAAAGCCTCTCTACCACTGAGCCATTTCTCAGCCCTTTTATTAATTTTTAAATGTTTATTTATTTGTGTTTCTTTGGTTTTGTGGTAGTAGGGATTGAACTGTGGACCTTTACACTGAGCTATATCACAGCACCTTTTTATAAATTTTGAGATAGGGTTGCTGAGCTCAAACCTACAATCCTTCTGCCTCAGCCTCCCAGTGTGCTGGGATTACAAGTGTGTGCCTTCGTGCCTGGCAGTGTTGTCCAGGCTGGTCTCAAACTTGTAATCTTTGTGCCTCGGCTTCCTAAAAATAGCATCAAAGAGAAAAGGAAAAAAGTATACATAATTCATAGAGCATACAATCAGCACTTGAGCGATTAAGAAACATTTTACTTAATAACCACTCTAATTTGTGTCTCCTGTATTGTTCTTCTGAACAGTTCCTACATGTGTGGCCCTGTGCTAGGCTAGGTGGAGCGGAAGGGACAGCCCTGTCCTTAGCACACAGCGCTGTAACCAGGAGCTTGGATGTGGTTGACGCTACCAGTGAGGGCCCCAGGAAAGAGTACTGGTACTGGACAGGGTCAAAAGGGCACTGTCATACTTCACTAGATGAAAGGTTCATCTGAGAGAGTGATCCTTACAGTCTTTGAATAAGTGAGGTACTTTTGGAATTAAGATACAAAACTTACAACCATCAGAGGAGACAGAAAGCCTGGAAAGGTAGACTGAACCCAGGAAAGCCTGAAGTCAGATTGGCTATTGTAGGAAGAGCTCTGAAGAGTTAAATTGAAGACATAGATAGATAGACAGACAGACAGACAGACAGACATAGATAAGCTATTAAATACCATTCATTAGCATTGAACTCATGGCAGACAGCCCTTTAGCTCATATCTGAATGAAGCTTGCTTATCACTTGTATTAAAGCACATCATTTTATGGGTTAGGTTTGTACTTGCAGTCCTCCTGCCTCAGCCTCCAAGAGTGCTAGGATTACAGGCATGCATCACAATGCCTGGCATAGAAGATTTATTTGTGTAGGTGGAATTAATCTGTTGTCTTGAGCTATTCAAATTGGTACGCAGAAAAAGAGAAGGCACTTGTTTCTACAAGTAGAATGAAAGACTTTTTAAACATAAAATTTTCAGGAAAACCTTTTTGGGGTGGGGATGTGGCTCAGTGGTAGAGCATGTGCTTGGCATGCAGAGGACCCTAGGTTCAATCACCGGCATCGAAAATCACAAATAACACTTAGTCTTCCCACATCTGTGGGGTTGGGAGTATAAACCTTTTTAATAAACGTAAACGAAGAGGAGAATGGAGAAGCAGGTAAATAGGTTATGTAAATTTGTCAGTGTGTGGTAATGAGTTTAATTGTTAGGGTAACATTTTTCTAACTTCTGTTGTTTACAAATGCTCTTCTGATAATACTTTTTATTTCCTTATTTAGAAAAATTGTGGCTGAATATGAAAAGACCATTGCCCAAATGATTGGTAAGGAGAAAGCTTTTTCCTAGGCTCTGAGCTGTAGTATCTGTCTTAACCCATTGTGGCTGCTGTAATCTGGATGGATTATAAACAGCAGGCTGTTTTTTCTCACAGCTGTCAAAGCTCTGGCAGATCAGTGTCTCGCAAGGCCTCTTCTTCGCACAATGATGGCAAGCCTTTTGAGAGACCAAGTGCCCAAACTGCAACCCAAAACCCAGTTATTTATCACAAAATGCTAACACTGCAATCAAACCTGAATACTGTTTTCCAGTGCCTGGCTCGTGTGCCAACAGAGAGTGTTCTGTGTGCCTGCTGCGGCATACACGCCATAGCTCCGCACCACTGTCTCAGTCCCTTCTCACTCCATTCTCGCATGGTAGCTGGAGAGCTGCCCAGCTCTCAGGCTTCATCTCTGTCTGTCTGTCCTTTGCTCTCATGGGGTCTGTGTCTCTCTCTCCCTCCTTCTCCCTTCTTCCCTCTCTCCTCTCTCCCTCTCTCCCTTTCTCTGACATATAATCTTTATACATATTTATGGGTTACAGTATGAGAATTCCAAACATGAATACAATGTAATAAACCTGGGTAATTTAATATTTTCATCTCAAACATTTATCATTTCTTTGTATTGGGAACCTTTGAACACCTGTGTGTAGCACTTTATGAAATACACAGTACATTATGATAAAGGGTGGTCACCCCACTGTGCTGTAGAACACTAGAACTTATTCTTCCATCTACCTGAATTCTGGTGCTCATTACTCAGCCTGTTCTGTTCCCACTCTGTCCCACTTCGCTGACTACTCTTCTGTTCTCTGCTTCCATGAAATCAACTTTGTTAGCATCTACATATGACCCAAAACATGCGGTGTTTATCTTTCTGTACCTGTCTCATTTCACTTAATATAATGTTCTCTGATGGGGTCTGCATTACGAGGACACTAATTCTGTCTCTGCCCTCATGACCTGATTACCTTGCTACCCAACCCTGTCACTGGGGAGTAGATTTCCACCAGTGAACAAGTGGCAGGGAATATAAACTTCAATGAGAGCAAGACCCATAGGTGCCTTTTTAGATAATGACACAGACTTTAGCTTGTGGACTGCTGACTTCCATGGTGACTACAAGGTGGCTGCACACACTGGACATTGTTCCTAAGGGATGTGCAGGGTTAGTTCCTGTGAGCCCCCGGTCAGAGCATTTTGATCAGCTGAAGAGTGTGCACCCTTATCTCGTGTGTTCCTATTTAAAGACACCTTATTTCATGCATATTGTTCATTCGTTAGCACTGAACTCATAGCCAACAACCCTTTAACTCGTATCTGAATGAAGCTTGCTTAGCACATGTATTAAGGCACATCACAGCTTCTTATGCTTAAGAACACCACGTTTGGGGTCATCTCCAACAGCAAGGTCAATAACACAAAGCACTAAAATGCAAAATGTGGCACTAGTAGACTGCAGAATGTTCACTTATTTATGGTGTGACTTGGTAGTCACGTTGTTCACCCTTAAGTAAGATTGTGCACATTGAGTGAATAAAAATTTTAGCCTCATGTCCAAAAACGACTGCAAAAGCTGATGAGTATTGATTTTGAGATGCAGATAAATTTGAACAAGTAGGCAAATTGGCAGATATAGATGGTAAATGATGATCAACTGTAATCACTTGTGTTCTGTGAGAAGTCCTCTGTGTGTGCTATGCCCAGTGTGTCAGTGGCCTACCATGTCCCTGACACCTGCTTGATGGAGTCCTTTCTCTGATTCAGTGTCTACCCACTGGAAGTTCAGATTTCCCTCCACCAGAGCCAGTGTGCCTTAAAAGCCATGGTACTCCATCGTCCTGCCCTGAACCTAGAGCTCTGCTGGTGAACACTGTAGGTTTGACTCCCTTAGTCAAAGCTGGTCTCATCTTCCAGCACTTGTATTTTGAATTGAGTCTCTGCTGTCCACATCACCAGATGCCTTCTGCCTGGGCCTTTGCTGTACTGTCTCCTCTGTGTCCTCACTTCCTGGTGGCTGCACAGCCACCTCAGTCCCTTCAAGTCTCTGCTCAGATCTTCCTCAGAGGAGGCCCTCTCTACCACACCAGCCACTATCCTACCCCATCCTTCTCACCCTTCTTTGGCCTTTCCCCTTCCCTTGTCACCCTCTGTCCTCCTGCTGGGAAGGGAGTTTTGTAACACTCACTGGCTGTATCCCCATCACTGAGAACATTACTTGGCTCGCAGAGTACCTCTTAGCTTTGTTGAATAACATGCCAAAATAAGCAGCCATTGCTTTTGACCGGTGGTTCCCAGAAGACGAACAGAGGACCAGCATGACCTCTCAGAAGAGCTTCCAGCAGCTGACAATGGAGAAGGAGCAGGCGCTGGCTGACCTGAATTCCGTGGAAAGGTCCCTCTCTGACCTCTTTAGGAGATACGAGAACCTGAAAAGTGTTCTGGAAGGGTTCAAGAAGGTAATATGTCCTGCTCCATGTGTTCCCTGACTAGTGGGGAATTTCTTGGTAGTGTACAGGGCTGGGCAGGTGGCCTTTTAGCAGGCCTCAGGACCTCTTAGCCTTGTGTCTTCTCCAGTGATAATGGCTTTTTTCAGATTTTGCTTGTGGTTGTTCAGGAGGCAGCTGGTCGGGGGGAGAGGCATGTTTTAGTCATTTCTGCTGGGCCAAGCTAATGAACCCTAGACACACCCAGACGAATCAGACTCTGCTACAGGGGACAAGACCTGGAGCCTTCAGACCTCGGGATTCTAAAAGCGTTCTTTTTGGTTTGTTTTTTGGTGGTACTTGGGAATAAACCCAGACCCTTTGCATCAAGCTACTTCCACCCCTTTTTTTATTTTGAGACAGTTCCTCAGCCTGGGCCCAAACTTAAGATCCCCTTTCTGCTTCTACCTCAGTCTCCCAGAGTGCTGGCATTATAGGAGTATGCCACCACATCTGACTTAAAAATGTTCTTCTTGATCATTCACCTTTTCAGTCTTAATAAAAGTAAGAGGAATTCCATATCACTGAAAAAATCCAATCTGCATATTCTAGAAGAAATTAAATATAATAATTTAGTTGTATGCTATCAGTAATATACATTTGCAGTACTCAAAATCATGTGCTGTGGGGGGGTGCTAGGGTTCAAACCGGGGACCATGCACATGCTAGACAAGTGCTTTACTGCTGAGTCACAGCCCCAGCCTTTGAAATTATTTATTCTCACATGAAATAAAAATGAAGCGTGGGCAAATCATGATTCATTTTTGAACAAGGCCTGAATTAGAGGTGTACTGGTATAACTGAACCCCACTGTATTATACTGAGTATTAGCACAGGAGGAAGTTATGTAGAATTTATTCAGAGTAGCATGTGCCTAGTTTTTCCCATTTTTACAAAGTGTGAATTCTTCTGGGCATGGAGGTACAGGTCTGTTATCCTAGCACTCGGGAGGCTGATGCAAAAGGATCACTGCAAGTTCGAGTCTGGGCTACAACGTGAGTTCAAGGCCAGCCTGAACAGCATAGTGAAACCTTGTCTCAAAAATAAAAAAAGTGTGAATTCTTTTTTTTTGAACTGGGAATTGAACTCAGGACCTTGGGCTTGCCAGATAGGCACTGTGCTGCTGAGCTATACCCCTGGCTCCCAAAAATGTGAGTTTTGATATAAGGTATATTACTAGTAGAAGAAAAACAAAATGACATGTTTGTTTTTTAATTTTTCACTTTGGAACAGAATGAAGAAGCCTTGAAAAAATGTGCTCAGGATTACTTAGCCAGAGTCAAACAAGAGGAACAGCGATACCAGGCCCTGAAAACTCATGCAGAAGAGAAACTAGATAGGTAAGCGTTTGTAGTTCGTTTTTGTTTTTTGTTTTGTTTAAAATGGGATCTCACTGTGTGGTCAGGCCTGAGCTTGAACTCTTTATACTCGCGTCCAGCCTGGCCTCAAACCCAAGTGTTAGGGCTATAGGTGTGCACTGCCAATGGCAAGAGCTGGTAAGTCTCACTTCTAATGGTGTTGTGAGGAGACTGACAGAGGTAGGCAGGAGCTTTTTTTAATCTAAAGACCTGCGTTTTGCTGCCTGTGCTCCTATTATAAAAACTTTTTTCTTTCTCTTTCTTGTTCCCATAAGCACTATTATTTTTTTTTTTATTTTAAAGATAAAAGGAGGGAAACATTAACAGACATACAACATTTTACAACATATCACAAGCACAATTCAGACAATACAGAGTTACAAACAAAGTGGTAGGGAATTAACAATGGTGGTTGTATTACATATTGATATCTTCAAAGTGGCTTCTCATGAAAACAGATTTAGACATGCAATACTGGTCAACCCAAAGACTCATTGACAGTTTCTTTCAGCATAGAAACAGAAGACAGAAGAACAACCATGTTAACTATCCTGTATATACATACATACAAAATTTCTCCTTCTTTCCCTTCTCTTTTCCCACATCCCAGAAGCCCTTTACTCTTCAGTGGTTTCCTATCATTTCACAGTGTCTATCATACCTCCGAGTTTAAATTAACTCTTTCAAGTTTTACACTAGTGAAACAATGCGGTGCTTGCACATCCCATAAGCACTATTATTAAAAGTTTATTGTATGTGCTTTTAGTCCTTCCTTTGTCTCTTTACAAGTACTACTCAAAATGGTTTGTGATCTTTTTGTTTTTGTTTTCCCTTTAAAAAAATAGTAATATTGGCATCATAACTAGACAGATTTTCTCTTTCCCTTACTAATGTATATCAAGGCCATTTTTCCATGTCAGAAGAGATAAGTTGGTCTAATTATTTTTATTAGATTGTAGAACTATAACTTGTTTGTTTGTTGAGACACAGTCACACAGTGTAGTTGAGGTTGGCCTTTAACTCACTGGGTAGCCTAGGCTGGCCTCAAACTCACGACAGTCCTCCTGCCTCAGCCTCCTGAATTCTGAAATTGCATGCGTGTGCCATCACCCACAACTGTTTTTCTCTTTTAAACTTTTTTTTTTTAATTAATGGAAAATTAGTTTCAAACTTTTTTCTATTACAAACAGAGCAGAGTTTTTCTGTGAATAGGTAGTGGAATTTCTGATCAGGTGTGTACAGCAAGAAAACAAAAATAATACCTGGGAAACCATAAAGGGGGTACATTTCAAATCGTCCTCCTAGTTACTATCATTTTGCATGGTCCCAAAATGACAGTGCCAGTTTTCCTTCCAGTCAGTACATAGTCCTGTTTCCTTGCATCTGGACCAACACAGAATATGACCATTCTTGTTAATTTTTGATGATCTGATAGATTTTAGAAGTTTGTTGTTTGGGTATTGGGTGTAACTCAGTAGTAGAGTGCCTGTTCAGCATGCATGAGACTTTGGATTCAATCTCCAGCACCCCTACAAAAGTTATTTTAATTTGTATGTTTCTTAGCTGGGAGTAGTGACACATTCCAGCAATCCTAGCACTCTGGGAGGCTGAGGCAGGAGGATTACAAGTTTGAGCCCAGGTTGGGCAATTTAGCAACTTTGTGAGACCCTGTCTCAAAAGATTTTAAAGGGGACTGGGTGATAAAAACACCATGGTATACTGGCATAGAAACAGACGCAAGGATCAATAGAACAGAATAGAAGATGTAGAAACAACTCCAAACACACTCAGCTACCTTATCTTTGACAAAGGGCCAAACACTTTCATTGGAAGAAGATAGTCTCTTTAATAAATGCTGGGAAAACTGGCTTTCCACATGCCAAAGACTGAACCTAGACCCATAGCTCTCACCATGAATTAAACTAAGATTGAAATGGATCAAAGATCAAAATATTTAAAACAGAAGCACTAAACCTGCTAGAAGATGGAATAGGTAAAGCTCTTGAAGACACAGGCAAAGACTTTATGAACAAAATATCGACCACACTGGAAATATTACAAAGAATCAACAATTGGGATCTCATCGTGTTAAAAAGCTTTTTCACAACAAAAGAAGCCACCAACAGAGTGAAGAGACAACCCAGAGTGGAAAAGGATTTTTACCAGCTTTTTTTTTTTTCAGACAAAGGGCTAATACCTAGTATAAAGAACTTAAAAAATCAGGCTCCCCAAATTTAAAGACCCGATCCAAAAATGGTCATCTGAAGTCAATAGACACTTCATGGATGAAGACGTACAAATGGCAAATAAGGACATGAAAAAGTGTTCCACATCACTGGTCATTGGAGATATGCAGATTAAAACAACTCCAGGAAGAATGGCTTTCATCAAGAAATCAACCAAAACAAATGCTGGTAGGACTATAGGGAAAAAGCAACCCTTGTTCCTTGCTCATGGGAATGTAAACTAGTATAACCACCAAGGAAATCAATATGGAGATTCCTCAAAAAACTAAAACTAGATGTTCCCTTTGACTGAGCAGTTCCCCTTGTAGGTATCTTTTCAAAAGAGTTAAAAGCATCATACCACAGCGATACTATGCATATCTATGTTTATAGCAGCACAATTTATAAGAAGTAAATCTTTGAAACAGCTCATCAATAGATGAATGGATAAAATGTGGCATTTGTGGAGCACTACTGTGTCATAAAGAAGGATAAACTTGAATCAGGTAAATGGTTGTACCTGAAGACCACGATTTCAAGTGAAATAAATGACACACAGTTTAAATATTGCATTCTCATGTGAGAAACCCAAAGAGTAACCAAGGAGCAAAATGGAGGCTAGATACTGGGAAGTAGGAAGAACATGTTCAGTGGGAAGGGGAACAGGAGAGCGGGGAGGGAAAAGGGAAGGAAGGGAAAAGAGATTTAAAAAATGAAATGGAAGGGAAAAATGGAAATAAGGCTTCTATAAATAGGGGAAGGATTGATGGGAGGGGTGGTGAATGGGAAAAAATAATTAAGACATACTATGTACAGGTATAAATTCCCTATAGTGAATGTGATCATTATGTATGGCAAATATGTAGTAATAAAAATAAAAAGGGCCAGGGATGTGTCCTGGTGCATAGGCTCTGGGTTTAACCCCTAGTACTGAAAAAAAAAAAAAAAAAAAAAGATTACTAGTGAGGTTTTACTACCCTTTTTTAAGTTAACTGGCTGTGATCAGCTGACATTTCTGGTCTTTAAGACTTCTTCATGCATCTCACTAGCAGTCATTTCTTAGAGGTCTGTGTCAGATAATGATGGTTAGCGTCCTCTCTTTAGCTATGATAACCTCTAGAGTGATCCAGTCCATTGTTATAGAAACTGATTTAATTCTCTGTTGTCAAGAAACACAAATTTTGAAGAATTGTGTTCCATAGAACCTTGCATAGCAGTTGTAAGTTCGAAGTTTTGTTGCGATTGTATTACATAGGTCAGTGATGGTTATCTTTTGTCTGGTCATGTGTCAGTGTTACAGAAGTCATCTTGACTCTAGCCATGCCTGGTGCCTAACATATGCTTTTTGTCTCTGTTCTATAAATAAACACCATCTACAGAGCCAATGAAGAGATTGCTCAGGTTCGCACAAAAGCAAAGGCTGAAAGTGCAGCTCTGCATGCGGGACTCCGGAAGGAGCAGATGAAGGTGGAGTCCCTGGAGAGGGCTCTTCAGCAAAAGGTACAGCCAGGGGTTCGGACTAGGTGGCTACTAAGACCTCCACTTCCTCCCCACCATATTGGTACCAGGCCTGTGTGTTTGCAGTTTACCATGGATCTGGGGGTAGTGGCCTTCACCCCAGCCCTGTGAACTGACTCAAGGAGACAGACAGCTCACACCATGGCATATTATCTGGGAGTTATCCATGGGCAGGGTGCAGACAGGAAGTTGAGTCCTCGCTGAAGTTCAGGGGATCCAGCACTTCCTTGTCAGGATCACAAGGCTACCTTTTATTCCTGCTGTCTCATGCAGTGCATGAAGTCGTCTTCCCCTTTCATTGCTCTAGATCATTGGTTCTTAATTAGGGGTAATTTTGCCCTTCAGGGGACATTAGGCAATGTCTGGAGATAAATTGGTTGTCATGCCTGGGAGATGCTGTTAGTGTCAAGTGGGGAGAAGCCAGTGATGCTGCCAAGCAACCTGCTGCGTACAGGATGGCCCCACGCCGGAAGTCTGGCAGCCCAGCTCATCAGCAGTGCTGCCAGAAAAGCTCTGCTTGGGTAAACCCAAGTCTGAGGAAGCAGCAGCCTGCCTCTTGCTACACAGCAGCTTCTAACTTTGCTCGTCTCTGTCACCAGTGCTTCACTTTTCTGTCTGCACTTGCACACTCATGCTTATGCCATCTTCTGAACTACAGTAGCATCTGATGGCCCCTCAGTATCCCTGGGCTATTCAGACCCCAGAATCTCAAACCCTGGGAGAGATTCAGATACATGTATTTTTAGCAGGTACCCCAAGTAGTCCTGTGGTATCAGGAAAATCTGGGAATTAAGAGGTTAATGGTCAGGCTTCAGAGGGCTGATGGCCACCCTACCTTGACTCAGTTTAAGCCTCATACCAACATGCACATTTTCCTGGGGGAGAGTACATAGTCTAATAAGATCTCAAATGTAGAAAAATGAAGAATTGTTTGGGAGACTCTAGCCAGTCTTGGGACTCCAGTTGTAATTACACTTATCTCAGAACACAAAAGTGGCCTGTGTAATCATGTCCTCTGTCTTTCAGAACCAAGAAATTGAAGAACTGACAAAAATCTGTGATGAGCTAATTGCAAAGCTGGGAAAGACTGACTGAGATTCGTCCCATCAGCTCAGCAGATCTGCACTTGGTTGCTTCTGCCGTGACCATAATTAATCTTGCCTTATCCAGGAATAATTGCCCCTTTGCAGAGAAAAAAAAAAAAACTTTATAAAAAGCACACGCCTCCTGCTGCCTGTCCTGCTTTGCTGCCGATGCAATAGCCCTGGAGGAGACGAGCGTGGCCCCTTTAGGAAGGATCGTGGACCTGACAGCTGGCGTCTCACACCAGCTCCAGCTACAGTCCAGTGAGCCAGGCTGCTGAGTGTGGTCTGTCTGTATTTTGTCTTAGAACCTCTTTACTTTTTCCAGATTTGTTGAGTTTGTGATTTTTGCAACTACTGTGTAGAGTCATCTCTTCTACTTGTCTGGTACTTTGGTGACTTGTTTGATCTAATTATCATCATTTTTATTGAAGGAGGTAATTTGGCCTATTGTTAATTTCAGTTCATAAACAGGACGTCCCATAAGATTGAATCCTAAGCAGTCAGCGTTGTACATCAACAGCAGCACAGGACTCCCTCAGAACTGGGGTTTGGCAAATGTACTCTGGAATCATTTGGTTCCTTCTGGTTCCATTTGTTGATATAAACCCAACATCACATCTTTGCCATCTATTTGAAATATGCCAAGAAAACGTACTTATGAAAGGCTTAGATGACCTTATTTAATGAAAAGGTAACTAGCCCATTACCAATTATAAGGAAAAGAAATAGGATTTTTTGGTTGGTTGGTTGGTTTTTGCAGGCCTGATGTGTTGTTCTTCCAACAAAATTAAAAAAGGCCAAAAAATCTTTTCAAACTATAAGACAGAATTTTAACAAAACAGGTAATAAAAATCATATGAGCCCCTCCATGTGTCTCAGCACATTGTATTTTTAAAGACAGTTTGAACACCAAGGTGGTGAATGTGAGAAGTCCGTACTAACAAACCAAGCTCCTCGAGCTCTTGCTAGCCTCAGATGAGAGTGGAGGACATTAACCCCAAAATGGACATTTCCCATGTAAGGCCAGTGAATCCCTCCCTTTCCATTTGGTAGGCCAAACCAAATCTGTGCAAGTGTTTTAGAGCACTCCTTTGTCTTAATTCTGCACCCCAAAAGGCTTCATGGTGGTATGCACTATGTTCAGTACCTGTACTTTCCTACTTCTCTTGTAAAACTATTGCATGAGCCAACTTCAGCACTGAACTGTGCCTCGTGAAAACCTCTGTAGATCTTGAAAGTGAATATTTCCCTAGCAGTGTGTTACTCACGTGGGTGCAATCTTTAGCCCCAGGGAAGTCAATAACGTCTTTCAAAGCCAGAAGTCATGTTTTACCAATATGTATTTATTATAATTGGTGCTTAGGCTGTATTTTAAAGCCTATTGTCTTAACATTTTGTACAAAAAAAAAAAGAACAGAAATTGTCTTGGTTAGAGAAGTGGCTTGACAATCATTTGGGCCTTGAAGTAGTCACTGTGCTTTACTGTGAATGCTGTCCCAGTAATTACAGTCTCAAGCATCTGCTGATGGTGTGTCCAGTTTCCTCTTTGTCCTCCACTACAGGGGAGGTCAATGCTGCGGTTTGCAGAAACATTACAAAACCTTCTGCTGCTGTGTTTTGTTCACATATCCATATTCTCTTGTTTTATATCAGTCTGTTTCAAGTATAAAAAAGTTATAATAGTGTCATTTTAAATCCATAGTCATCTTTCTTGTTTTCTTTTTAAAAACTTTTTTGCTGTGCTAGAGATCAAACCCAGTCTTGTACAAATTAGGCAAGTACTCTGCATTAAGCTACAGCCCCAGTCCTGTCAGCGTCTTTTTAATCCTATTGTGTGTACACTATGCTGTGCATTAGGACATAGCTGATGGCAGTACTTCTCTAGCACACTAATCCAAGAGACCCCCTGAAAATTGAAGCCTGCTGAGTGAAACCCCTGCACAAGGAGCACAGAAGGGCCCTCGTTTAAGTGATATTTGCCATTGACCTCTCAGTTACGACTTTTACAAGGCATGTCCACCACTCTCATTTAATAGGTAGGTCCTCTCCAACGAGAAAAAAACATACTCGTGCAGCTGGTGCATCAAGGTAGTGTACAGGCTAAAGCTGAGCATGTTGGTGTAGACCTGCAATCCTAGCGCTCTCAGAGGCTGAGGCAGGAGGATCACAAGTTCAAGATCTCTTAAAATTTTAAAAAGGACTGGAGGTGCAGCTCAGTGCAAAGGCCCTGGGTGTTCAGTACCAGAAAAATGGGGCAGCCAGGGGGTGAATATAGTAAGCAAAATGAAGGATACCTCTTTTTCTTTAAAAATAAGCCCCCCCCCCCAAAAAAAAAAGCTTTTTTGCACTCTGGTGAGTAAGAATGTAGTCTAGGGCAGTGATGACAAAGTTTTTAGAGCTTTCAGTGATACAAACAGCCTGCTGTAGCACCTGTGGCATAGGTGGTCTGGGGTCTGTTTCAACACATGTGAGGGTTAAAGTACTTGTTCAGTTAAAACATAAGTGAAAAAGGGAAATAGAAGAAAGCTGCAGGTTTAGACAGGGGTTTGGGAATCACTATGTGATCTTACTGAGACTGTGAGTCCAGAGCTACTTCTTTAGCTTCTGACTTTGCCAAATGTAGAATGCTTTGATCCAGCAGTTTTTTGATACAGGCTGAGCATTTTACTGTGTTCTTGGCTAGATAGTCACGGCCACTCCTAGACTTGACCTCATTTGCAAAAACCCCTCTAACCAGTGACCCGCCCTGTGCTCCGCAGAGCTGCTCTAGAGATGCTGAAATGCCTAGTGTTCAGCCTCTTAGACCCAGCCCAATCCAGGAAGTGCGGAAGTGCATGGTGGTGGGAAACCGAGGCTCGGGGAGTCTTCCAGAGTGGCTGGGATCTATGCGCCAGTGGCCTTCCGGCTGCTCACACTCGGGACAGCCTCTACATGGATACCAGACGGCCCTAAGCACGTCTGTCTGTGTACATGGGAATGGACCACCCCAGCACCCGGCTGCCCGATCCAGCTCTGCCCAGGGCCCTGCCACCTGCAGACAGGGCTGACAAAGGGCTCCCCAGGGCTGAGATCAAGTGGGTGTGTCTCCTCTACACCAAGTCACAGTGACACAGTCCATCCTTTGCTATGGTGGGAGTGTCCCAAAGCCCCTTGTCTTTCCTTTTTGGTTTTTGTTGCAGGTAGGAGCCATCTCCTGTGTTGTTCGTGACTGTTGTTTCTCATAGTGATGTGACCGGGTGAGCATACTCTCAGACTTGAATTCCTTAACCTCTTGTTAGGAAGAGAGAAACTAGGTGTCAAAAGATTAAATGATTCAGGCAAGAGATTTTAAAGTAAAAGATGTATATATTCTGAAAAATTTTAAAGATAACAGATTACTGTGCACTTCTTCAAGAACAGACACGGTCTGGGGATCCCAGAATGTCAAGCCAAAGGTCTAAGAAGTCATGTTCTTTCAGAGATTTTAATAAACACTTAGAGGAGATTTCTGTCCAAAAGGCTTTCACTGGACTCCAGATTCTAATTCTTTCAAAAATTAGTTTATGGGACTGGAAGTATGGCTCAGCAGTGGAGTGCCTCCCTAGCGTTCAGGCCTGGGGTTCCCTCCCCAGTGCCATGAAGAAAGGAAAAACAGTTTCCCATTCGGTCCTTGAGTCTCCACGCAGTGAAGGCAAAGGAATTGATGCGGTGTGCTCCTCTCTGTAAGGGTCTCCTTGGGACGACAAACACACGGCAGCACTCTCTGGTGAAGACCAGTTCCCTTGTGCCAGAGCTTGCATTCTGGAGACTAAAGATTGCACTTTTCGTAGTTTTTCACCCAAATGCAATCCCATTTCTGTGCCTCGTAGCATGCCATTAGATTTGGACAAACGTGATTCCTAAGGAATGACTTTATTAACTATAATATGGTTACAGCTATTACATAAATATATATTCTGGTTATAGTTCTAATGTGGAGATGTTGTGTGCGATGCTGGCCTGTGGCAGTCTGTGTAATGCTTTAACTTGTCAGGAGGAGGCCGAGCCCAGAGCTAGGGTGTGGCCTGAACCTTTTCACTTTGCCACTGTCGGGACGCCTCTGCCTCTGCTTTTTAGTGGCATCTGGAATATACAGTACTCCAAACAGTGTTTCCTAGTCTAATCATCAACTGAAATTCTAGATTTAGGAATAATTGTCAAGTGAACATATGCAAATTTGAGCTCAGAAACCACATCTAATCCAGATACCGGGCAGTGTGTAGGGAGCCACACCCGCAGCATGGGCCTCGACTCTGTCCTTCCCAGCCACAGGACAGGACCCAGGCACTTTTGCACCTCAGAGGTAGCAGTAGACTTCTCTGTTGCTATTAGCAAGCGAATGTTTGCCAGTAGATCCTCACTGTACTAATGTGCCAACAGGTAGACATTCACTGCACATCTGCTCTCTTGTGTCCCCATGGCCGCTCAGGTCGTGTGAGGAGCCCCTCATCTGGAGGGGTGAGTGCTGCATTGACTACTGCTGTCAGGATTGTGTTATGTGGAATAATCATCTACATAAATTTTATATGCATAGTAATTTCCCTTTTTATATGTCAGGTAAATATTTGTAAAAGTTATACTCACACAAATGAAATTATTATAATGATTACTAATATATTTTTTCCATGTTTCATTGCCTGAATAAAAACTGTTTACCACTGTTAGATCCAGGGGTGTGTGTGTTACTGTTGGTGGTTTTCCTGGTTAGAAGTTGTTTTATCCTGAAGTATGAAAATTTATGGCAGCTTCAATTTTATGAGTCCCGTGTTTCAGTCTAAAAATAGACTTTCACCCTACACTCATTTTGTGGGGTTTTATGTAATCAGTTGGGTGTGTAATGAAAAACAAAACAAACTTTGGGATTTGGACCTTGTTACAAATATCTGTGTCTGCCTCTGTGCAGAAAGCTTTTAGCTGGATGCTTCGTGGTTCCTTAAGAGACTGGTCGTCTGCCCGGGCCTTTTGCAGGTCCTGAGAGGCTAAGTCACCTAAGCATTGTGACTCGAAGACCACAGGATAAGCCAGAGCTATGTAAACATCACAGCCCACAGAAGAAAAAATAGTTTTCGTTTTATGCTATGTTTCTTCCAGGTTGACACTTGGAACACTTCAGTACTGGCCAGGCCAACTCTGCTTAACTCAGTAGGAGATGAGGCAGGAAATGTCATGGATCGTGTCACTCTGGAGCTGGGCGTGGTGGCATAAGCCTGTGCAGTTTGAGGCCAGTGTGGAATACTTAGGCCCTGTCTCAGAGAAAAGACAAGACAATAAACAAAGGCTCCATTTTACAGCCTGGGTGGGAGGCCAGTGCTCTCACTTTCATACTGGTCCCCATCCTGACTCTGTGACCCGCAGAGTTCCTGCAGACCGTGTCGCTTCCGAGCACACTCCAGTCACTGAAGGAGGCAGTGCCACCTTCTGCAGACCCCCGCGGGAAGTCTCATATACTGACAATCACTGGGAAAAATCCGACGGAAGCTTGTTAGAACTTTATTTTTAGATAACTGAAGACCACCAGTATTTTTCACACTTTTAAAAGAGGGACCATAAGGTCATCTTAGTGAAAGGCAGTTTTTTTTTCATGCTGGCGATTGAACCATGGGCCTTGCTCTAGGCAGGTGCGACACTGAGCAACACCTAACAGCAAGCAGTTTTCTCATGAGAAGAGCTGTGAAGTCACTGCACAAGGGCGGGCTAAGTGTTGGTTTATGAAATATCAAACATGAATGTATTTGTACTAGATCGTGAAAATACTTATTTCTTGCTATGGATAGTAGTCAGTATAAAAATGCCTAATTAGACATCTGAAGTTCTCTTTTCATACAAACTGAGGCCCAGAGACAAGTGATATGGCCAAAGTTGTATGTTAGTGAACACTTTTATCATCAAAATGGTCAAAAAAGAAATCAGTAGACCTTTTAAGTAGTTGAAATCTAAGGGCTGGACGATATTTTTATTATTTCCTAAATGGGTAGGCATTGATCAGTATAGTAAGTCCCTGACTTACGAACGAGTTCTGTTCTGGGAGAACATTTGTAAGTCAGATTTATTCGTATCCAGCAAAGTATGTGTTATTTGGTGCACCTGTAAAAGTTCGCAGCTTGAATGTTTGCAAGTCAGGGACTTACTGTATCAGATTTCGTTGTTTGTTTTTTTTGAGACAGGGTCTCACTATGTAGTTCAGGCTGGTCTTGACTTCACTGTATAGCCCAGGCTGGCCTCAAACTCATGGCGTCATAGGTGTGCACCATCAACCTAGGCAGATACCTTTTTAATACATTTGTTCATTCATTCACCAAACACAATATTGGTGTATTTGCAGACTTTAAAGTGAAATATGAAAAAATTTGAGAGATAGTTGGCTAAAGAAATCATTTTTCAGTTAGATTGAAATCTCATTTAAATATAAGTGCTATGCTAAAGAAAGCATTCCTTTCCCAGAAGAAAGTCATTTCTTGTCTGCCTTTCTTGGCTCGATCATGTTCTAGGTAATTTTATTTAAGTAAACTAGGTACCTGAGGGGTTGGGGCACTGTGGTGGTACCGTCTGTGAGGCAAACCCAAACCCTGACAGGACAGGATGTCGTTAGATTGTCAAAGTGTTCTGACTAAATGTGGAACAAGTCTAGGGGAAGGAAAAACGTACGGGCAGGATGTTCCCCTGGGGTAAGCACTAGGCTGCACTGAAAAACACAGACTCCGAGTTCTTAGGGTCAGATCCAGAGCAGTTATTTGAGTTTTTCTAAATCTTGGCCTAGTGGTAGTGAAGACTATAGCAGTCATGTTTTATAATGCCTGAATTAACAGCACTTAAAACCTAGAGTTTAAGGAACTTTCAGAGGCTGGGAATGTTACTTGGGGGTTGAGTGCTTGCCTACATGTAAAAGAGGCCCTGGGCTCAATCCCTAACACTGCTGAAATAATTCAAATGGTGACCTGCGCCCCCTTAGAGCCAAATGATTGTATTAGATTTAGTAGCATCCCAAGCAACAAAGCTTTGCCTGCCTTTCTTCTTGTAGTTGAGGCTGGAAGGTAGAGGAACTGAAATTTAGCTGGAGAGGTCCTGAAGTTGGAGTGTGAAAATCCCAATTTAGGCATTACATAGCTGTGCAACCATAAAATACTAGGTTTCTATGGTGCCTATTTTTCCTTTGCCAAAATGTCTAATCCCTTTGAAGTCCGGTTCCCTTGGGAATGTCTGTTCCATAACAGACTGAAGATGCACCTCAGTGAACAGAAATTCATTCTTTCAGCCAGTTAAAATGAAAAGGCAACTGACATTTGCTATCTCCTGGGTGCCAGGTGTCTTTGCAGAAGCGGCACATCAACTGCTCCATATAAGTGAGAGATAATTAACTTATGGGAGGAAATGAGGCTAAAACACACCTCACTAGGAAGGTGCAGCTAGCTTTTCAGGTTCCTTTGATCTCAAGTCCCATTCTCCTGAGCCTGCTCCGTTTTACATGTATGTGCCATATACTTTCCAGCTGTACAGAAGAGGGCTTTCTGTTCATTAAGTGAATGCTGTTGCTCTCCCTCACCTCCCATGGGCCATTTCAGAGGATACCAGAGGAGCCTTGGGAAAACATGACCAAAGCCACACATACAGTTGGTTACAATACTGAAGAGAATACTGATTAGGGAAAACAAAACTCCAGGGGCCCTTTCTTCCCGATATCTTGGCTTTTTTTTTTTTTTTTTTTCTTTTTAAAGCTACTGAGGATTGAACTCAGAGCCTTCACCCTGAGATTTACATTCCCAGCCTTATTTTATATTTTGAGACTGCATTTGCTAAGTTGACCAGACTGGGCTCAAACTTGCGATCCTCCTGCCTCAGCCTCAAAGAATGCTGGGGGTTATAGGCTGTACCACCATGCCTGGCTCAGGCACTTTGTCTTGTGAAAAGAGCTTTGGCACAGAAGCCTGAGACAGGTTCTGGTCCTCTGTCTGGAGTGTTTAGACTCCTTTAGACTGAGAACTCCAGATAGAACCTTCCTAGGTTTTATGTTTCCCTACAGTGCTGAGACAAGAGTTCCTCCGGATTCCCTTGGAAAGCACTAACATACCTCCTTGAGCTGTGCTGACAGTATGCTTGCCGAGAGCTGGCGAGGTCACGGAGCTCTTTCCCATGTTTGCTTTGGTTGCAACGTTCAGAGAGGCAAAGTCATTGGCCTGCACCACGCAGTGAGGACCAGCAGGGCTCAGACCTGCATTGTCACCTCATCTGTGCTGTCCTTTCCTCTGCTGGGGTACCTCTCTAGCCCTCGGTCTTGTCCCCAAGATGAAGAGCTGGGTTGTATTCCTGAACTCCCCAGGTAAGGGTCAGGACGGTTGACCTGACAGACACACGCTGAACTCCTGCAGAACCAAGAGCAACACCCTGCACTTCTGAGATAAATCGCCCCGGTGTGTGGTGTTCTCAACATGTGCAGTCATCACACACAACTGCAAGACACTGGACACAGGAAGGCATTTGGGTCCAGACAAAAAAGCAGCTAGGTAATTTGGTGCATGGCCATGTAATCACACTATTTTGCTAAAATATTAGCACCAAGCAGTCCCTTAGAGTGACAGGCAGTAACGGACATGCCTTCAGCTTCTCAGACAGGCTACCACTTAATGCACTTTGGTTTTTTTTGTTTTGTTTTTTTTTTATTTTAAAAATGAGGAAAACATTAACAGACAACCTTTTACAAAATAGCAAAAGAACAGTACAGAGTTACAAACAAAGTGGTAGGAAATTAACAATG